AATGTCTGCGTGGCATTTTTTAGACCAAAAGGCATGTAAAGGAACTCGATAAGTCCGAAAGGCGTACACACGGCTGTTTTAGAGATGTCCTCTTCTGCCATGGGGATCTGGTAATAGGCGTTTACCAGGTCCAGCGTTGAAAATATCTTCCGCCCATGTAGCTGCTCAGTGAAATCATGAATGTGTGCAATGGGATAACGATCGGGTACCGTCACCGTATTAAGCTTACGATAATCACCGCACGATCGCCAACTACCATCCTTTTTGGCAACCATGTGAAGTTGGCTGACATAAGAGCTTTTAGATGGGCGACAAATACCCTGCTCAATCAGGTAATTAATTTCAGATTTCGCAGTAGCTAGCTTGGCACCGGACAAACGGCGTGGTCGATCTGAAACAGGAATGCCATTTGTTTAAATATGGTGACGGACTTCGTGAGAACTGGTAGTTTTCCGTGCCGGTGTAGTTACGTCGACAAATTCTTGAAAAAGCTTTTGGAATTTGGACATTCCTTGAATAGTTGAAACTGACAACAGTTTAGCAGAAGAAAGGCCTGTCGGAGTTGTGAATCCCGTGAATGCGTCGATTAATCGCTTGTTTTTGACATCTGCTCCAATTATAGGCGTTTGAACGTCAGCGACTATAAAAGGCCATGAGAAACATTGGCGAAGGCCTAGATTTAATTGGATTACAAATGTTCCATAAGTATGAATTACCGTCTGATTGACCACATACAGTTGAAATTCGCTTTGTTTGATATTTTGTCTGGCCAATGTGCGAGGCACAACAGAAACGACAGATCCAGAATTGACGAGGAATGTTATTCGAGAGTTGCGATCTGTGATATGTTGACGGCTCTCCTCTATAGTAGAACGCTGAGTATTGGAATCGCTGTCGATGTTCTTGCTGTCGTCGACCAGCGAGTTGAACGAAAGCCGCGTTAGTTTAACGACTGCGAACAGGCACATGGCGGCTTGCAGTTACGCGCATTTTCGCCATAGCGATTGTGATAATAGCAAAGTTCAGCTAGCTGGCTGCCTGCTTGGGAAGATTGATCATTAAATCCGGCAGAGGAGTTGTCACGTGACGGTATACGATTCGGGCCATTTGGCCGACTGTGAGATCGACTTCGTGTGCGATTGGCCGACTGGAGTTGCTTGACGTCCTTTTGAATCAAATCCATTTTTTTGGTGAGAGATCGTATCGAAAATATCCCTGAAGGTCCCTGAAGAATCGGAAAGGTTAACAGCGCATTCACTAGGCTGCGACATATTTGGTTGTACAGCAAAAATAGCTCCTGATGCTGTAGTCTCAAGCATCTTATCTGCTATTTTTGCAAGTTTGTCCAGGTCATTTTCTTCCTAAATGGCGAGATAAGGGCGAATATTATGACGATCGAATTGGGCAATCCATAAGTGTGGATTGCTGCTGGAAAATTTTGGCAAATGAATTACCGAGTGCTGTGCAGTAATGTTTGCAGATGCCTGAGATGTCGATGCTCTGGATTGTAGAGCCTCAACTTGCAGTTGCAAACAGCGGATCTGTTCCGTTAGCTGTTCTTCGGTCTTAGACATGGTTTTGCTTTCAGCCGCTGAATCCGCAAAATTCAATTTCCTAGGTTGCAAGGAACGTTGATCGTAGAGTGGCTGATTCGGATTTTTCTTTTTTCGAGGGCGTACATTGTAACACGTATTTTGCATTCAGTGCAACTTTCTCAAGTTTTGGAAAATTTAAATTGATTGGTGCATAAACGTGTATTTTTTTCTCTACACATTTAGTCAAAATGAAATAACTGTGAAAACGAATGTCGGGGTGACTACTGTGGTAGCTTACGATTCCTATTTATTATTTCGTCAACACAAGATACACTTTGGATTATTTTTAACATATGGATTTATTAATAACAAAGATGGACGTTCTTGAATGCACGGGTGTTGAAACTCGAAAACAATGAAGTTGGCTGCACTACATATATTTCCATTGGCTTGGGCTGCCACTCTCTTTCAGTCGTAAGCTAAGGCTGCCACTTGCATCCAGCCGTTAGACAGGGCTGCCACTTACCGTACAGCGCCCTCTTGCGCCAACTCCTGGAAACATTTTTGGCTACCCAACAGAGCGCGCCACCGATCGAGACGTGTGGATACCGACTCGCGCACCTGTCGGGCATCGCTGGAACTACAGACCGTTGTCACCAACAATGCTAGCCGTTACTACGAATGTACGCGACTTGAATATCGATAATTCGTCTGGCTGGCTTGCGTGGCAACTACGTATTATTATACTTCTTGTAATATTTTATTTGTAATAAAAGTACTAAAGAAACTAAGTGCATATTATTGAACACAATTATTAATGGCTCACATTCGCCATAGACGAAACATTAAAAAAAAAAAATTGATGGAAGGCCTACAGACGAGTGAGAATAAACACTATGAAAGAGAAGTGACAAATCGATAGTATTTTGTGTGCCTAACTATATGGAAGATCATGTACTATATAAGTACCACGATGAGATGGGGTATATAGGAATAGACAAAATGACAGATGTAATTTCCAAAAGTTACTGGTCTTCCAACATTAGGTCTAAAGCGAATGTACAAAAGAAGTTATAATTGCTCTGAAAGACTACTTTTGGGCCTATAGTCGACCAAAGAGTGTTATATTGATCGTGGCAAAAATAGTCGAGTGTCCCCACAGGAAAGAGCTGTCTAAAAGCAACAATAGTTTTAATGAAAACAAATTCATTCAATCAAATTTTTCAAATTGATTTACCTAATGATTGCCACAGAAAATTGTAATTAATTGTAAAATAATATAAAATATTGTAATAATTGTATACAGTATATCGAAAGAAAACCAAAAGATCGGGAGATCTTCACCAATCAGAATGGCCGAGTTGTAGTAGTATGAGTATGAGTATAAGTAAGAATGCATATGTGATATCGAATGATCATAGACTAAAGCATAATTGTGAACACCAAAAGTCAACATTAAATAGATTGGCAAACGGAGCGGCGGTTTTACTTGACCAAGGTGACCTAACAAAACAAATGCAACAAATGCATGAGTCTGCTAGGGCAGTACCCCAGTAGGAAACTGGACACCACGGGGGGCAGCTAGCCGATCCAATCTACAGATTCTGCAGCGGTACCAGAACATACTTCTTCACATAATAAGCGGCGCACCGCTTTACATGCGCCAGAAATGCATTCACAGGGACCTAGGTCCGTGGTCATAAACATCCTAGAGAATATCAGGCGCCTCAGGATATACAAGTTTTGTGCGAATTTAAATAACACTGACGTGGAAGACCCGCCAAAGTATGAACGCAAGGAATTCGGAAAGTATTAGAGCTAGAATTACCAAACTTCGTATTTAGATTGCCCTAAATCCGAGAAAAAATTAATGTGTGTGTTTCGCATGCATTTTGCGAATATATTTTTCGAATTTTTAGCTCAAATTTAGCAATCACATTAGGTACATGCTAAGTTTAATCTTATGAAATGCAAAGTTATAGCAATCAGTGTAATCTTTACCCAAGCTCTGCTGCTTTTGCTCAGCTCTGTACTACACAAATGCACACACACAGACACTCATAGACGGACACAGACACAATATTAATATATATCTTAAATATATAAATGTTATATATTTTTATAATTTAATATATTTTTTTAATTATTCAAAGTAGTGAGTGCGTCCAGTGCATTACTTTCCTTTACGAATTATTGCAAAAGCTCATTAATTCGTCCTTCGATTGTGCAATTAATGTTAGAACTAGACTGGTAGCGCTAAGTTAGGTTAGGTTGTCGCAGTTTCCAGAGGTATATCCCTGATTCACTTTGGACTAGGTTTGATCCATACCCAGTGCCCCCATGGATTCCTGCGTGCCTATGCATGTCTTATATGCGAACGGATATAGGTGCCTGAATGAATATGGAATTATCCGCCAGCTTCCTCCTCTTGTCCCGGTAGCTTCGAAAGAAGTAGTTGCGCTGAAGCCCTATTCTGGCAGCATGGGTACCTAACAGCCATGCCCCATAATATCCCCGATCATATCCGAGAAGTAGCTTCTGATCAGCTTGCAATGCTCTGCGGAGCTTTTCTTGCTGCGGCTATCTGTTTCATTAGTCCATATTTGATTAGTGACAAATTCTAAGTGGTTCCGAACTTATAGCTAATAGCTGGCCATCGGTATACCGCTACTTTCATTATCCGAAGGAAGAGAGACAATGGTACCGCGTCTTGCCAGTTACACTTTCTGTCCGTATGGCCTGGGATCCATATGGGGCAAGAGAGAACTGCACTGTACTCTTGCGAAAAGATGTGCGATATTTCTGCATTTATATTGAGTTTGATGTAATGGAGCTAAGGGATTTTATTGCTGTTTGGCTACATAAATAATAAAGGATTGAAAAAGAAACCAGATGTTTCAAACTGAGTTTAGAATTAGAAGAACGGCCTACTGAACAACGAGGTTTTCCGCCTGAAATACGCTGAGGTGGTCCGATAATGTGAAATATTTCTCAATGCCAAGTCTTTTGCAGAAGACATCGCCACCGATCTAACTTAGAACAGTCTGTCTAATGAAGTTCATTGGAAATGCTGGTGTCAATGCAATGGGACTCCCTAGGGGTGCAGTAGTGGCTAAGGAGATTTCTCCATGGATTTGTGATTAGCATTAGAGCATTCCTCTGACTATTAAATGATTTCTCTCATGCGAAGAGCCCAGCAATCTTACGTATTTAGGGCGCGAATCTGGTGGTGCATAGCTTACCGTACTGAAGCACTAACTTTATTATTTATTATATAAATGTATTTGTACAATGGTTATTGTAGCCATGTATTGATATAGGAACATTTTAATCATTTTATGAATTATAGCACCTAGATAGTTAGGACGCAACTGCAGGATAACTTGGTTTCTTCTTAATTAATTTTTAATTTTTATTTATTAATAATCAAAAATATGTATTATAATTACGTATTGCATTATTTAGTTCCAGTCTACCAAATGGAAGCCCTGATTGGAGAAAATATTTACCTACCCTGTAATGTTACTACATACGATGGAGATGAGGCGGTTTTAATTTTATGGTACCGAGATGACAGAGGAACCCCAATATACAGGTGAGCTTAGATGCAAATATAAAATCATGAAGTAAATAGAGGTAAAATAAGGAAACCTAATTTTTTGTAACTACATCAAAAAACAAAACTTTTATTTATTTAATTTAAATAGTACTAGCGTATCCGGTTTGCGTTGCTGCGCCACTGAATTGTAGTGCTTTTTATACTCTGTACATGAAATGTACAAGAGTATATTAGGTTTGCGCGAGCTCCAAAATGTAACAGGCAGAAATAGGCGTGGCAGACCCCACAAAGTATATATATTCTTGGTCAGCGTGACAAGACGAGTCTATCTAGCCCTGCCTGTCCGTCCGTATGAACACCTAGATCTCAGAGACTATAAGAGCTAGAGGCACAAAATTTTGCACAAAGATGTCTTGTGTACGCTATACGAGTTTGTTTTATTTTTTGGATTTTTCCTCCCACTTCCCCCCTATGGGGGTTTTTCTGATTCCATTCGTATAATCGTCTATATCTCAGACAATATAAGACATAGGGACACCAAATTTAAGTCCCAGATATCTTATGTAAATACGCAGAAAATGTACATTTTGGAATTTCTTTCCCTCCCCCTCTCCTCCACAATCACTGATTTTTCATACCTCCCGTATATCTTGGAATTTTTCATTGAAATTCGAAAAATAGTTAGCGAATACGAGTCTGTATGCAAAGTTTCATATCAATATTAAGGCAGATTTAACAGGAAGTTATATGTATATATGACCAAGCAGTGGTTTTTCACGTTGACGAATTGGGTTTCGAAATTTCACAGGTGCACCAATTGGACAATTTTGAATATTGCCAAAAAATTGGATCATAGTGCAGCGGTTTCGGATTCTCTAGGGAGTATACATACATACATACATACATACATATTTCACTCTCTATATATATAAAATAGCTTCCTGGCACAGTGAAAGTGAGCACTAAGGAGCGGTTTTGAAAATTAGAACTCTAAAGGAGGAAACGGGCTCCAAAGATTGTAGAAGGAACGTTCCAAAGTAAACAAGACTATTTGAATCTAGCGCCCCCTGATGGCGCTATCTATATGTCGATTTATAGATTGTCCACTGAGAATTTCATGACATTTCACCGATTGGAAGTGAAGTTATTGCGTTTTAAGTGTCAGTATGTTTGTGTTATCGGTGCGAAAATGAGCTTCGAACAAAGAGCCAACATTAAATTTTGTTTTAAAATTGGTAAAACTTTTACCGAAACGTTTCAATTGATGGAACAAGTTTATGGCGATGATTGCCTATCCCGTAGCAGAGTGCACAAGTGGTTTCAACATTTTCAAAGTGGTCGTGAGGACATAAATGACGATCAACATGTGGGTCAATCAAAATTCGTGATCACCGAAAATTCCATCGAAACTGTGCGTGAATTCATCAAAAATCAGCTGAAATCATCATTGAAATTGATGGAAATGGAATTGAACATCTCCAAAACATCGATTTATCGCATTTTGATCGAACATTTGGGCTTACGAAAGGTGTGTGCACGGTTTGTTCCGCACAAATTGACTGACGACCAAAAATTGCTCAGAAGATCGACGCTTGTGACCGATTTTTTAAACAAAAATCACATTTTAACCATTAACCGCCGTATTCACCTGATATGGCACCGTGCGACTTCTACCTTTTCGGAAAAATACATTTGCCCATGAAAGGAAAGCGTTATGCAGACGTAGAGGCCATTTAAAAGGTTTGTACCGGCATACTGGCGGATATACGGGCCAACGAGCTAAAACACTCGATCGACATGCTTTTGGGTCGTGCAAAAAGCAGAAGGAGACTATTTTGAAAAAAATAAATTGATTTTGCCGAAAAAACCATTTGTTCTGTTTTTTTCAAAAGTCCTGTTTACTTTGGAACACACCTTGTATGAACAAGTAAAAAAGCTAAAGTCGGGTGTCCCGACTTTGAAATACTCTGTACATATGTTTACAATAATTATAGAAAATAAAAAAATTAAGAAAATAAAAAAAAATTTGGTCGATTTGGGAGGGTGTATAATTGAACATTTACATAGCAATTGCGTCTGTGTGAGTGTATGTATGCCTATGCGCATCTATTCGTGTCTGTGTAAGCATTTTCGCAGTCAACCAAACAGCAACATCAACAACAGCCGCGGGCAGCGCTTGAGCAGCGCTGCAGCAGCAAATATATTTATGGCTATAACTTCTTGGTAAATCGGTCTATCATAGTGAAACTTGGCATACGGACACATAATTACTAACTGGGGGTATTTGCATTTGTAATTTTAGTTCGAAATTCCAAGAATTACGGGAGTTAGAGAAAATCGCATTTGCGGGGGAGAGGGGGGAGGGAGGGAAATTCCAAAATATACATTTTCTGCGTATTCACACAAGGCACCTTGGGCTACAATTTGGTGTTCCTAGGTCTTATGGTCTCCGAGATATAGGCGATTATACGAATGGAAAATCGGGTAAACCCCCATAGGGGGGAAGTGGGGGGGAAAATCAAAAAAATAAAACAAACTCGTATAGAATACACACATAACGCATCTTTGTGCAAAATTTTGTGTCTCTATCTCTTATAGTCTCTGAGATCCAGGTGTTCATACGGACGGACAGACAGACAGACAGGGCTAGATCGACTCGTCTTGTCACGCTGATCAAGAATATATATACTTTGTGGGGTCTGCCACGCCTCCTTCTGCCTGTTACATTTTTCAGCTCCCGCAAACCTAATATACTCTTGTACATTTCATGTACAGAGTACAAAAACAAGATAGAACGCTACAGTCGAGCAAGCCCGACAGTAAAATAGCCTGTACTCTCCACAAAAAGGAAAAATTAAAAAAAAAAAAAATTAAAAAAAAATTAAATAATTAAAAAAAATGAATGAATGAATGAATTAAAATAATTAATTAAATTAAATTAGAATACATGTTTATGTTCAGTTTTAACAGCATACATTTACATTGTAATGACGCGTTGCATAGCGGGCAGCCGCGCGTCATTACGAGTAGTTATAAGTATAAGTAATTATAAGTACAGTAAGCCACGAAGGCAAGTAATTTTAAGTTCTTTCTAAGTTTAGTTTGTTCTTGGCTTTCGGCCCACACGCACTGAAGCGCGGGCAGTTTGAATTTTGTTGGTTTTTGTAGGAATAAAAGAAACACGTGGAGAAGTTTTGGCGCACCGCCCTCTTTTATTTGTTGGACACCTCGGCACTTTGGGGTGCCTAATTTATTACAGCATACTCTGGCCGGCGAGCATACCCGCGGCAGAGCAACAACGTTACAAGTGGCGCCCGAGCAGGGACCCCAAAGAAGTTTGAGGTTAGATCCGACCAAGTAGGGAAGAGAGCGTGGACCTACAATGCTACGAACGAGCTGGATACGTGTGCTGCGGAAGGAAGAGCTCAGCACGGTGCTGCGCGAGTTCGACATCGAGGAGACCGGCACCGTGGAGGCGTTGCGGGTACGGCTGGCAACGTTCGTGAAGTCGGCCCAAGAAGAGTACCGACCCCGCCTTGAAGAACTAGCGGCATATTACGAGAACATGTCGTCGCGTACCGCGGCGACAGGTCAGTTGAGCCCGGTGCCCGGTGGACGGCTGGGAGTCCCGAAACAAGAGGACGTACCGGAGGGGCTGCTCGTCGTGACGGAGACAAACACGACACCGCTAACTCCTGCGACAGTGCCGACCATTTCGGTAGCGGTCGCGGCCTCGCCGGGAGCTACCACAACCGAGCCCACGGCAGCCTCAGCGACGCCAACAGTGGCTCCAGTGCTCTCAACGGCGGACCTGACACAAGCGATTGCCGATTCGGTGACAGTTGCGTTGGCTCAGTACACCCACCGGTTGGCCCAGGCTATGGAGGATGGTTTCCAGAAGCTGTCGAGCCAGGTCTGCGGTTCCACCGCGCCTGCTGGTAATGCGCCTAACGAAGATGACCCAACAGCACCGACTCCAGCGTCACCGCTCGCAAGCGCGCAGGCGGTGGCAGAACCACAGGCGCCAACATCAGCCGTGTCAACCGCATCCGCGGCTGGTTCGGCCCACTCGACAATGTCACGAGCGGAGCGGAGAGCCCTGAGCACGGAGGTGGCACAGTGGGGAGTACGTTTCGACGGCAGCGGGGACCCAAGAACGTTCCTCCGGGACCTGGAAGATAAGGCAGAGATAAGGAACGTGCGATTAGATGAGTTGGTGACCGTGTTACCGGAAATCCTGGTTGGCGAGGCGAAGGAGTGGGAGTGGTCAAGGCGCAATTTGGTACAACGGTGGGCCGAGTTCCGCCAAGACCTACTAAAAGAATATCCAGCGGGTCCCCACATAGAAGAGCGCCGGCGGGAAGCATACAGCCGGGTCCAGGGCGCATCAGAGAGCCCTATCGAGTATGTCCGAGCGATGCAACGACTGCTGCGCGGCGCGGGGATGACTGCAGAGGAGCAGCTGAGACTTGTCCACGCCAACGGGCTACCAGAAATACGCGCCAATCTCCGCCTGGCAGGCGAAGAAGTGAGCTCACTCGATGGGTACGTACAGGCGGCACAGGGCGTGCACCAAGCAATCTTAGCACGGTCACAGGCGGCCGGCAATGATGAGACGAACGCCACACACCCTACGCCGATCCCACAGCCGGTGGCGGTTGGCCCAGCGGACACGTATCGCCGCCCACCCATCTGCAGACGTTGCGGGATGGGAGGGCACGGTACGGACGCGTGCCCAAACTCTCAACAGCTCTACTGTTGGGACTGTGGTAAGATGGGGGTGCGTGCGAACGAATGCTGCCGACGCGCGACGGGAAACGCCAGGGGGGCTCGTCCCACATCAACAGTCGGCGAGCCCACGCAGGCAAATTCCAACTAACAACGACACGCAGGGTAGCGGCCGCGCTACCAGTGGACTGTGATGGTGTACTGGTAGAGGCGGTCGTGGACACCGGAGCGACACGCAGCTTCGCGAGTCCGAGGCTGGCGCAACGCCTGCGGGCGCCAGACGGAGGAAATGTACGGTCCGTGAGCGT